CTTTACATTTACGTCTATTTCTTTATTGAATTTAACCAATAAGAATTAAAAATAAATAAAAACAATTATTTACAGCAATTAACATCCAAAACCAAACTTTCATCGAGGAATTGTATTCTTTATCCCTTCAGTGTATCGTCTTTAGTTGTTTTTTTCTCTCTCCTAAACTTCATGTTTCTGCCAACTTATAGATGAAATTTGTAGATGATGTTGTTTTCTCATATGTCTTTTTTAAAAAGATGCCTCAATATCATGACAGGTCGTCATGGAAACAGGACATAGATAAATATATGATACTTAACACAGCTATCATCTCAATAAAGCCCAAGCCGCAACAGCGACAAAAGTAATACAACGGTCGTGATGAGTACTAGACGATGACAGTGAAGGACTAGTATCCCGTTGAATGGCTGCTGGATTTTCACCTAAAAACAAAATGTTGCTTTTTAAATTCAGGCATTGCGGAGAAAAAATATATCTATACATAAGCTATAGTAAAACACAATTAATAACATAGAGGCTGTCCACTTTTATAACTTTTATGATATGTCTTTAAGAGTAGAATATATACTGTTTTCTGCTCAGCTAAGTATATATTAGCTCAGTTTTGCCTTTGATAACTTATATGAAGAAAACATTCGATACTCTGTAGGTTAGACAGCTAAGTCACCTGCTTACAGTAAGATTAGGAATTCAATCGCTTCTTTAGAACAGTTTTAAATGGTAAGTGGTTGATTTATTGGATGTTTAAATCATTTATACATCTTTTACCAATAGAAGGAAGCGTAAGATACAAACTTATAGTCTTAATCGAAAACACGTTTTGTGCAATTCAAAAACTAATGTTTTGCTTCGTATTTAACTGTTCTGGATCCATAGAAAGTAAATAAGAAGTATAACTTATTTGGATTTTTATTAAACGAACGTACTTACAGAGCAGCTCCTTCAATAGAGAAATTGAAAAAAGGTCTTTGGAACAGTGTATAGAAAATATGTTTGTTTCAAAAATAATTGTTCGAATTATTGTTTTAAAAAACAAGCATGTAATTAGAGTACGTTTAATTGTTTCAAAGTTGTTAGCAACAGCCTTACTCGGGGGTTTTAAATATGTGGCATAAAATATAACCACATTTAATTACAGTTACTGTGAACAGATCAAAGAATGGCTCTGTCAAAGATAAGCTTCTCACAAATGTTTATTATCATAAACCAATTCCAAAGAATATTTCGTATCGCATTGATGTACTCCAAGAAAACAAATGGCGAATATCATTCTAATGTTATTTATGAATGTTAGTATGAACAAGTCTAGCGGCTGTTTCTAAATGTTAGTATGTTTCTAATTCTGTAAGTCGTGTCTTCGTCTTTAATACTTTGTATTGGACAAATACTTAAAACAATCAGAATATATTTTTTAATTGTGCATTTAGTTTACAAAACGTTGATCGCTTGAGTATTTTTATTATTCATATTTACATAAGTACGTCGATTTTTGATTTTTTTAATGTTTGTATTGGAGAGATTTTGGTTAAACTTTAACTTTCAAAGTACCAAGATAATTCCTGATTATAATGCATGTCTTGCGTATTGATATATTTGGAAAGACGAAAACTATTTTGTCTATAGTATTCGCAAAATTATATTTATTTCATTTGCAGATTTAAGCCTGGCCTATTGATTAGAGCGCTCGATTCGCAAGGGTGTCGCGTTTGGATCCCATCATCCGTGGGAGTGTTATAATGTGGCGGTCAATCCCACTATTTGTAGGTAAAGAGTAGCCCAAGAATTGACGATGGGTGTAACTGACTAGCTGTCTTCTCTCTAGCCTATCACATCTAAACTAGGGATGGCTAGCTCAGGTAACCCTCGTGTAGTTTTGCACGAAATCTAAAAAACAAACAAATCAACAAAAATTTACTTATTAAAAGTATTTCTGGAAAACACTCGAAGTATGTTAGGAAATGTAGACAAAAGTCGAAGTTAGTGATATCACAACAAAATATCAGTAATTTGATTGAGATTAGACGTGTTTTCAAATCTCACTTTGTCGAATGTAAATGCTATCTAATATCTGTGTGTTTAAAAGTTACGAAACGAGAAACGTTATTATAATAAAGCTTAGGTAACTAAAATATATTAAAATACTGTGATCATTATCAAAGCAAATGGATGCGAATTAGATATTTGTATTAGACTGAAAAATACACGTAATATAAATGCTCACTAAGAAATTCAGTTACAAATTTGTCGCTTCAAATTCATCTTCAGTAAATAAAAAAAATTACTGTCTCTTAATTTGTCTGTTTTACACAAAATAGATTCTACATTTATCAAAATCCTCAGTTGTAAAATAACCAAAATATTTTTGAACTATATAAGCATTTTGCCACTAACTTAGTGATGGAAATCTTTAATAGAGACATTAACTTTGCAATGTTCCAGCTTGAATTTATCACGCATTCTCGCATCTTCTTTTTAATATATAGTATCGTTATTAGTCGACAGATGGCAATATGGCTAGGCTGTCTTTGGTATCAGAACCTTTGCCGGGAGGTTTTTATTATTTCAAAGCAAGGCATATGGAAAGGCGTCTTCAAACATCTACTATCTCAAGGAAAAGGAAATAGTAGTTTATAATAGTGTACGAGTCTTATAAAACATATTCATTCAGTTGGAAAATTGAGAATTATAAAAATAATTATATGAAAAAACTAGTGTAACTAGGTATTTTTACATCAGTGCAATGGAACAAACAACTGTCCACCAGGGTGATAAGCCTTTTTTTAAAAAAAAAAACCTCAGAGATATTGAGAAAGCTAGCACTCGTATTTCCTTTCACATATAGTCTCTTGCCAACTGGTTTTCGCCATCGTGTAAGTAACCGTACTGTGATATTTTGAGAATTCAAGATAAGTAGTAGTAGAGTTGAGTCTAAAGTTATCTGAAATAAAACTGGTTGGAATGAGACCCACTCATACAACCCATCATATCTTGAACCTATAAAAGAAAACTTAAGAAACGAAGACATTTTGGGTGCATTACATAGAACCGTTACAGAGGCATTTAACCAACCATCATCCAGCTATTGCTTTCAAGCTGTTATAAATTAGTAATTTTATTAATAACGATGTATTGTATTATAATTAAAGGGAACTGCAACCAAAACAAAACGTAAATATAAAATTGTCCACGTAACACATAACAGTGCTTTCAAGTAACACCTATGTTTATCAGTAGTTCTAAACCTTGTTTGGTTTGATGAAACACAATTTTACCACTGCAAGTGCAATATAACGTATTATCAACCCGATAACACTGCCTTTTTACCTTATTTATGTATAAAACCGTTATTTTTTATTTAAATTTCTAATATTTTTTTAATTTTAAACCTGGCGCTTTTGAATGAAACTATATTCTTTCATCCACAGAGAATCTAAATCTGAAATACGTTGAAACCCAATATGATCCTTAGCACTCCCTCCTAATATTAAGGTAGTAAGGATACGTTAAAATTCAGGATGATCTATAGCACTTCTTCCCAATATTAAGGTGATAAGAATACGTTAAAATTCAGGATGATCCATAGCACTCCTTCCCAATATTAAGGTAGTAAGGATACGTTAAAATTCAGGATGATCTATAGCACTTCTTCCCAATATTAAGGTGATAAGAATACGTTAAAATTCAGGATGATCCATAGCACTCCCTCCCAATATTAATGTAGTAAGGATACGTTAAAATTCAGGATGATCCATATCACTCCTTCCCAATATTAAGGTAGTAAGGATACGTTAAAATTCAGGATGATCCATAGCACTCCTTCCCAATATTAAGGTAGTAAGGATACGTTTAAATACAGGATAATCCATAGCACTCCTTCCCAGTATTAAGGTGATAAGAATACGTTTAAATACAGGATGAGTCATACCACCGCCCCCATATTAAAGTATTAATGATATTAATTGGGTTTATTTCATGAAGTTCTTTCATTTTTAAATGGGCTTTTATGTCTTACATGTCTTTTATGTCTTATTCGGGAACCATGCAAGTACAGCTTAGCCATAAATAAATATATGATAACGTGGTCTAATCGCCAGTGGTGAATTAATATGATTCAGAGACACGTTACAGTCTCTGAACTGACATTTATTTTAAAGCATATACTTCGTTATCTATAATTGCTGAGTAAGTGCCATATGGGGATAGAATATTATGTGCCAAATGTATCAGATTCTGGAATAAAGTATCCCTACATTTCAGGTGTGAAACGATACTAAAACTGTCATGAATTAGTAGCAGATCTGTGAAAGATTCAGATTGGATGCCTAAATGTAAATCAGCACTCTAGACTTGAATCGATTCCGCTCTGCCAAAGGCATATCACCGCTAATTAAACCCAATCATGTTCCTGCAACTTCGTTATTGTTTTTCTAAATACACCGTAGGTTATGATTAGGAGAGAAGTAAGTGTATAGAACACTTGGAAATCTTTAGGCACGTGAAGTTTAGTTCGAAAGTAAAGGTGATTAGCGTTGGGAATAAAATCTAATCTATTTTTTTTGTAAATCAAGGAAAGAAACAAAAACAAAACACGACAAATTTATTATTTAAAAGTTTTGTATGAAATAGAACACTTGCATGTTTATGCATGGAACGAACTACAGATGCTTAGGAGAGATGGACATTTTTTATTTACATATATAATTATAATTATTAAATCAAATCTTTACTTTCAATGTAAACATAAACCAACTTTAAATTTAGTTAGAGAGAAATATATTAAAATGAAGGTTTGTAATCAGGAAATGTTTATTTTCATAGTAGTGACACTCGGTGGTGAACACGTATGTAGAAAATAACGTTATTGACTATAAAAGTAGTTTTGATTCGTCGCGTTTATATCTTCACTGTTTAAACTACTATCATAACTTGATATCCGAAACTTGGACACTGACGAAATGCTATGACAACGTACAATGTATTAATAACTTGAATGTTGTAAAGTAGTGGTTCTCAACTGATGGCCTGCTGCCAACTTGTGATCCTTGAGAAGCGCAGTTTTGGGCCGGAATTTTTCGTTAACCATGCAAACCTTTTGTACTAAATTCTCAAGCAAGCATACGTATTTTGTTTTATAATTTACACGTTTATATAATTGTTTATAATTTATGGTAAAAGTACTTTTTTAAGAATATTATTTTAAGCTATGGATAATTGTAGATATTCCAAAATATTCCCTTTAGACTGTTTTAACAATATTATTTT